GTTATCCTCTTCCAAATTTTCGTTTAATTCACTGCATTTCATCTTTCACTTTTACACGTTTCCACCGCTTCCTCCTATAAAATCGTGTCAAACATGTGACGACCTGACAATTGAGAACTTTAAGAGTAAATGATGTCGTATTCTTTACAAACTTTATCAAGCGCATTTATTCCGCAATCGCTGCATAGTAAACGTTTTGATAATTTCGTGTCTGGTCCTCAATACTGATATCAAATCGGTAGATGAAGTTTAAACGGTAGCTTGCTGATTAACGTATTCAATAAACCTTCTCCCCTATGAATTACCATTGGTATTGACTTCGATCTTCTCTCGATACCATTATTTATATAAAAGAAAGAGCTTCGACTGAAAAATTTTAGTCTTATGGTGAACATTGTACAACAGTCCATTTCCCTTCTCTAATTAATTTCGTCAAACAATGTGATGAGAGGATTTCATCATTACCTCGTCAGCATTTGCTTCTATTGTTTCATTCAGCTAGGGCAATAATCAGCGGTCTGAACGGGTGTGAGAAGACAAATATAATCTTCAGTTTGCTTATAGATCCAAGTCGTTTAATTTATCTTTAGCAAATACCACAAATGACGCGGTAAACGCCATCTGTAGTACGATGCTATATTATAGGATTACGTATGCTCCAACAAGGTCCATTTAAATATATGGATATCTATTTGCTGAAATGATAATCGCGGCGTAGCAAACTTCAACGTGATAGGCACGTTACCATAATCGAATAAAATAATACAGACCACTTCGAATTATTTTATTTAATTTATCTTTATTCCAAATCGTTGTACCAACCCAAATATGAACTATTGAAGGAGGTTATGAAAGAACTAAAGGTGTAGATTACTTTCCCTACGACGATAATGAAACAATAATTGATTTGTCCGAGGTGAGCGTAAATTCCATCTTTATTTTCAAGGACATTGCCTCTTACGTATAAAACTAGAAATTATTTCGGCATGGGTCGAGCATAAGAACATCTATCAATATCTCTCGAACGTACACTTGCATACCGAAGCATTTAAATAGTGGTAACGCCAATTTCTTAATTCTATGCAGGGTGTAACAGAAATAAGTGCCCAGCTTGCAAGAGGTAATAGAGCACCAGAAAACATAAAAATGATGTATTGAAATTTCACTGTTTTTGAGAAAAATACGAGTTCGATGTAACATTAAAAAAATTACAGAATAATAAGGCGCCAGGTGTAGATGGAATACAGGTAGAAATTCAAAACATGCAGGACGCGAGGTCTCTATGTATAAACTAGTTAACCACATTTACGAGACTGGGAAAGTCCCAAAGGTTTTCAAACGGAACGTAGTAGTAACCATACCGAAAGAGGGAGGTAAGAATGGATGCAAGACATTTAGAACAATTAATCTAACTTTCCATGCGTCAAAAACCTTAACTAGATTTGTACAGAGAAGGGCAGAAAAAACGGCAGGACAACTATTAGGGGAAAGTCAATTTCGGTTTAGAAGAAGTAGAAGAACGCGGGAAGCCATTCTAGCATTACGGGTTACAATGCAATACAAGAAAACGATAGAAAAAGGAAAGAGCGCGTATATAGAATTTGTAGATTTTGATAATGTTAAATGGGACAGGATGTTAAATAAACTTAAAAATGTAGAGATGATTTACAAAGATAGAAGAGTGATACATAGTTTGTATAAAGAACAACAGGTTGATATAGAGTTGGGGCGGCAACGTAGAGAAGTAAAGAAGAAGGCAGACAGGGACGCACAATATCACCGCTACTTTTTAATCTACACATCGAAGATGCGATCAGCAAAGACAGTACAACTGTAGGGATAGATATACAGGGCGAAAAGATTAGTATGCGTAGATTTGCAGGAGGAGTTACAGATAGTTTTATATAAAATGGAAGCGGTATTGACAAAACAGTACTACGAAAATAAACAAAAGTACTAATATTCATGGTAAGAAAAAGTAGGGAATGAGCTAATATAAGGTAAGAGACGAAAAATTAGAAGAAATGACCGAGTTTAGGTATCTAGGAAGTCAGATAAGTCTGGACGGATGGAGTAGGAGGGATATAAAGCAGAGGAGGGTCGAGCCGCCTTCATATAAAAGAAGTCACTTCTATGCTCGCGAACGGTTAATTTGGGAATTCGAAAAAGGTTGTTAAAGGTTTATGTTTGGAGCGCGGCGCTGTATGGGTGCGAAACATGGACAGTGGACGTGGCGGAAAGGTGAAAGTCTTGTAACACCGGCCGCACTTGTAGCATGTCGTTATCTATGATTAAATGAATAAAACTTGCATAAATATAAAATTTAAAACCGCTCAATTAGAATGGTGGTCAACATATGCAAACATAAAATAGTCAACGGTGGAGGGAAAGCAGCTGTAACGCAAATACTAATCTGAAAGAATCACTATTATTATACTGTCTTCATATGAATACAATTCCGTCTCCAGAAAACTATCTTTCATTTGTTGAAGCACTAAACACCCTTCCAAAACAGCACTTCACATCTTTCTATAAATTTCTGTAATGTTACTACTTGATATTATATTCTTTTATAGAATAGCTTAATTGTATTTCAAAAACAAAGCCGGATTATATGGTAATAGTTATTTTCTTATAAAACTGCCCACTGACGTTTTGTTCTGGGTTTAAGATTTTATTAAGGTAGGTACAGATCAGACGCAGAATGCTGGCGGAAATTTTAAAATGACATGGATGCGCGGTGCCAAAAATAGGCAGTTTTAGATATTACAATAATAGCCGTCTTTCTTCAGTAACCCTATCAGGGGCGTAGATTAAATATTTAAAAGCAGGAATTAATTTGTATTAACGTTTAAAACTTTGGCATTAACTTCCAAAAACTACTTTGATAAAGACTTACTCCGAAGACGAAACGTTGGTGGTGTTATTTATAATAAAAAACTATTACGCTATAAACTGATCATCATAAAAGGAAAAATAAACTAAAATAGTCAAACTTGTTATAAAGGATTCTCACTGCAATGGGCATGTAAACCCCACTAAATTAAAGGCACGGATATGTTTGGATTGATGTGGCTGAAATTCTGTGCTCTATAGTTGTCTTTGCATATTCTTTTATATTATACAAAAGGTCAGTCCCGATTCTTTAACCATAGTGGGTTTCTCAGTCACCAACCAATGTTCTGTGCTTTAACTTGTCGTCCAATATACCTTGCGCATTTTTAGGCACAGTTTCCACTTATTTTTATTTTTGCGCGCAACTCTTTTATCGCAGTTTGTTTTAGAATTTTCTTATTAGCTTTCCTCTGTATAGTAGATCGCTTTCTCCATTTCTTCTCGTCTGAAAGTGCAAGATTTTTGTCAAAGTCCTCTCTGCTACTAACCCGTTTTCCAAAATTCTTCATTTTTGACTTACAGGCTGCTTTCCGTGTTTAAAATAGTTTTCTTAGTACTTCCTCGTCCTCTTGAATAACAATGACAAGCAGGTGCTTTTGATATTCCTTCATTTTTTGGGGAATACATTCAAAGCACCTACTACCACATTAATTACAACAATGTCTAGAATAGTTAATGAGCTGATCCTATAGGATTCCCTAATATGTAGCTATTCTATTAACTCTTCGATTGTATTAGAACATCACCAATTGAATAAACTCACACATATTCGAAACTTTTACATTGTTTTGAGGTCGAAGAATTAGAAGAGCCATTTTTATAACTTAATACACATTTTGACTAAATATTCTGCTTCTACAACAAGGGCTGTCTCTAAAAGCGAACTCAAAACTGCTTGTAGCCTAAAGTCCTCCTACCTTGCGGGCAACGCCATCACTAAGCCGATTGAACTAATTCAATGACCCAATCGTCTGACATACGAGTTCCAACCCTTTGAAACCCTCATAATTGCACCGCAATTAAAGCCAACTTTCTTTCATCATTTATTGACACCCCTCTCATCACGTCACGGATAGTCCTTTAGAAACCCCAAAAGTCAAACATGTGTCACCCATGGACTAGCCGGTCAATGTGTGCACAAGAACACTACATACAGAGGTGGATAAACCATACACACATATATATGCACACATTTAAACATACATCCAAGCCTAACGACGAGAAAATTTCATCAATAGAGTTGAACTTGCTCGAAATTATCGTAAGCAGTCATTGACCTGCCTCGTTAATTATGTCCCAGAACCTAAAATACAGCACTTCTCAGTTAGCACTAAATGTCAATATATCGTGATAACTGCAAATAACTAATTATTTTCTTTGTATTTCTTCTAAATAGGAGTGCTGTCAGTAATAAGCAAAAATATTACAAGAAATGAAGCAACTACATTTTTTTTTTCTTACTGACAAAATGAGAATTTATGCTTTCCTTATTCAGCTATCGCTAGCGAATATGGTAATTAAGCAAAAGATTATCAAATAACTACAAAATTACTTAGTAAGCTATTTCATTATTTAACAACATGGAACAATCGGCACACAGTTATAATCGGCATTTGGTAATGGTAATTCATTACACATACAGTTGAAAAATTATCAGTTGTCAGGAGGAAGGCCTTTGATGATTCCGCGGATGTAGTCATTTATACATTTCGTTATTTTCTCAGACTTGTAGATAAATTCTTCACTGCGGTTCTATTCTAGACCTCGCAAATCAAAAATGCTTGCCAAACATTCTACACATGACCTCATATACCGACTCGCTAAAAAACAAAACCATCAAATCCAAGTATTAAGCTTCTTCCGTTTATTATTATACCATTCTCAATGAACTCGTTTCAGCCAAGTATTTATAAGTACCTATTTCTTCTTTTACTATTGCTGAAAACCGACCTTTATGGAATGAATACAAAGAAAACAGCAATAGTACACCCTAGTCCGATTTTAAGCAATTGTTTTAATTATTTGTAGTTAGAAGAGCAACTTCTTTTTTCGTTTATTTACACAAATTGTGAGCTAGAATAATCCATAGAATATTAAAAACTCACCTTATTTCCATTTATGAACCAAAGTAAGACCGGAGCAGGATGACTTTTACCAGAGGTGCAATTAAGGTTTATTTCATCTCCAACTTGATATTGATCCTGCACACCTGTTATTTGAGGATCTTCTTTAGGAAGCGCTAAAACAAAGAATTACACCAACTTGAGGATACGCCATTCAAGTGAAAAATAATAGTTTTCTAATGTAGGGTAATTAAGAAGGAGTTGCACATTTAAGAGCAAAAGAAGTAATTGTAAGATTAAAGTCTCCTCTCCATTTAAGTCCCTTAAATCGAGATTTATATGTGTGCTGTGTAATTTGTAATGTATCTTTTTATTGATTGGTAAAATATGTTACTCGTATACAACAAGAATTGCTAGGTAACCAAATTAAAATTGTATCTTCAGAGGATGGAAAAAAGGAAGGAAGAACTTTTGGGGGAAAATCAATTGGGGTTCAGAAGAAATAGAGAAACGTGGGAGGTCATCCTAGCTTTACGGGTAACAATAGAGAAAACGACAGAAAAAGGAAAGTGTGCGTACATAGGATTTGTAGATTTAGAAAAAGCTTTTGACAATGTTAAATGGGACAAAATGATAAAAATACTTAAATGTGTAGGGATGAGTAACAAAGATAGAGAAGTAATACGTAGTTGTTTAAAGTGCAACAGGCAGCTATAGAGCTGGAGCTGCAACGTAGAAAAGTAAATGAATGGAAGACAGACAAGGATGCACACTGACACTGATAGATATACAGGGGGCAAGAGGTTACTATGTTTAGATTTGCAGATGATAAGCAGTATTAGTATCTAGCAAGGAGGAGTTAAAGATAGTTTTAAATGGATGCGGTATTGACAAATTGCAAATAAATAAAAATTCTGGTATGCAAGGGAATAAAAACAAGACTTGCGTTGCACGGATGCAAAACATAGGCGGTGGGCACGATGGAGAAGGAAAGGTTAAAAACGTTCGAAATGTGGTGGTACTGGCGAATGATGAGGATACAGTGGATAGAAAAGGTTAGAAATGAAGAGGTATTAGAAAGAATAGGAGAACAGGGGACTCTATGGAAGTCAATAAGAAATAGGCGAAATAGATTGGTAGGACACCTTCTAGGGCATGGAGGTCTGGTCAGAGACATATTAGAGGCAGAAACAGGAGTAAAAAGGAGTAAAGGTACACCTAGATTATATTACTGTTCACAAATAGTTAAGGATGTGAGTTGTTCTTGTTTTGAGGAAATGCGAAGACTAGCTCGATTATGATGGCCACACAACCATCACATTGGCTCAGATACCCAAAATTTCAAGTCGTCACCATATGGTGAAAATCCGTACAAGATAGCAACGCTGTGCAGCATTAAAACACCAAAGAAACCTNACCTAGATTATATTACTGTTCACAAATAGTTAAGGATGTGAGTTGTTCTTGTTTTGAGGAAATGCGAAGACTAGCTCGATTATGATGGCCACACAACCATCACATTGGCTCAGATACCCAAAATTTCAAGTCGTCACCATATGGTGAAAATCCGTACAAGATAGCAACGCTGTGCAGCATTAAAACACCAAAGAAACCTAGAAATGAAGAAAAAGTACTTAGCTTTTTGGTAAATCTTACGGCAAAGTCTTTAATAAGAAAAAGTGCTAGGATGCGGAAGCACCGGTTGTTACAAAACAGATGTTTAACTATTACATCTAAAATTGCTTCCACTAGAGCTCACAATGAACGTGCTACACAAATAATGAAAATATCCCAACTTATAGTATAAATGCGAATGTGAGTTTGTTCGTTTGTTTATTTGTTTGATTGTTTGTAGGCTTTCCGCACATTAACTACTTAACCAATCATCATAAAATCTCGTACGCACATTATCAGGGGTACAGGAAATCACATATGGTATGGTACCTTTTACGCAGAAAAAAAAGACTTTTCCGAAATTAATTCAATGTGATCGATTTCACGCCTTAGCTACTCGATTAGTCATCATGAAATTTTGTAGATACATTGTCAGGCGTACAGAAAAGGGTTTAGGTTACCGTTTACCTAGAAAACAAACTGTTTCCGAGAGATAGAAAGATTAATTTTATGTGGTCAATTTCACGCCTTAACTACCCAATCGATCATCATAAAAGTTTGTAGACACATTCTCAGGGTTATAGAAAAGGACATAGGTTACCTTTTATCTAAAAGAAGAACTGTTTCTAAGGAATAGAAAAATTAAGTCAATGTAGTTGATTTTACGTATAAACTACCTGATAGATCTTCATGAAGTACAGGCACATTGTCAGGGGTACAGGAAAGGGTTAGCTTTTATCTAAAAACAAAAACTGTTCCCGAGGGATAGCAAAATTAGTTCTAACTATTTGATGAATCATCATGAAATTTTGTAGATGTATTGTCAAGGACACACCAAGCAAGATAGGTTACCTTTTATCTAGAACAAAAATTGCTTTCGATGTAAAAATTTCATATGATCGATTTCACGCCTTAACTACTCGATCGATCATAATAAAATTTTGTAGACACATTGTCGGGAGTACAGAGAAGAATATAGGGTACCTTTTATGCAGAAAAAAACTGCTGTTCCCGAGGGATAGAAAAATTAATTTAGTGTAGTCATCAATGATTTTTGACACATATTTAGAATGCCAACGCGAGCGAAGCAGCTGGTAATTTCTAAAATATGGTGTTAGAGCAATGCAACTGAATACGGTAAAGCCCGAAAAAGTGCGGGGAAGTTTCTTACTTGGGTCATGTTGTATCAGCGAAGGGCGTGGCCGTGGATCCAGAGAAGATAAAGGCCGTAAAAGAATGGCCAGTGCCTGAAAATGTCCACGACATAAGAAGCTTCTTCGGATTGTGCACATATTATCGTCGCTATTTTTATGGATTCGCCAATATCGCCAAACCTTTGACACGTTTAACCGAAAGATACGGAAAATTTCATTGGGATTCGGATTGTCAAACGCCATTTGACACTTCGAAGCAGGCTTTAATTACAGCCCCCGTACTGGTATATCCTCGGCCCAATGGAATGTTCATTTTGAACACCGACACCGGCTATTTTAGCAAGACCTTATCAAAAGCCGAAAGAAACTACTGCGTCACTAGGCAAGAGATGCTGGCTGTAGTCAAATGTGTTGAACATTTTTATAAATACCTGTATGGACGAAAATCACTCTACGCACCGATCATGCAGCTTTAAAGTGGCTTCTGAACTTCAAGAATCCGGAGCGCCAGGTAGCTCGATGGATTCAGAAGCTATAGGAATATAATTTTGACGTGGAGCACCGGCCTGGAACCGGACACAAGAATGCCGATGCACTTTCCAGAAGGTCTTGTCAAGCAGTGTGATCGAATGGAAAAGAACAAAGAAGCAATTCGACGCGTCACTGTAATCGATGACGAATGGTTACCTGACAATATAAAACACGACCAAGAAAACGACCCGGACTTGGCGAAGATAATGGAATGGAAAAAAAACGGATAACGGCCAACGTGGCAGCAAGTTTCTTCCTGTACACAAGTACTAAAATCGTTATGGACTCAGTGGGATTCAATGGTATTGGAGGATGGCATTCAGAAGCGTGTTGTTGAAAGCCCAAATGGAGGGGAAGATAGGAAGCAACTGGTTATTCCTCGAAACAAGGTTAGAGAGGTGTTGCAGTATCTTCATGATGGATCATCTGGTGGCCATTTTGGAGTGAAAAAGACGCTTGAGAAAGTTCGAGAGCGATTTTATTTGGTAAACTGTAAGGAATATGTCAAGAATTGGTGTAAGAAGAGTACCACCTGTGCCGCGAGTAATGGACCACAGAAAAAGCCAAGGGCGCCAATGCGTCAATACAATGTCGGTGACCCCTTCGAACGAATCGCAATCGATGTGGCGGGTCCATNCTCACAATGAACGTGCTACACAAATAATGAAAATATCCCAACTTATAGTATAAATGCGAATGTGAGTTTGTTCGTTTGTTTATTTGTTTGATTGTTTGTAGGCTTTCCGCACATTAACTACTTAACCAATCATCATAAAATCTCGTACGCACATTATCAGGGGTACAGGAAATCACATATGGTATGGTACCTTTTACGCAGAAAAAAAAGACTTTTCCGAAATTAATTCAATGTGATCGATTTCACGCCTTAGCTACTCGATTAGTCATCATGAAATTTTGTAGATACATTGTCAGGCGTACAGAAAAGGGTTTAGGTTACCGTTTACCTAGAAAACAAACTGTTTCCGAGAGATAGAAAGATTAATTTTATGTGGTCAATTTCACGCCTTAACTACCCAATCGATCATCATAAAAGTTTGTAGACACATTCTCAGGGTTATAGAAAAGGACATAGGTTACCTTTTATCTAAAAGAAGAACTGTTTCTAAGGAATAGAAAAATTAAGTCAATGTAGTTGATTTTACGTATAAACTACCTGATAGATCTTCATGAAGTACAGGCACATTGTCAGGGGTACAGGAAAGGGTTAGCTTTTATCTAAAAACAAAAACTGTTCCCGAGGGATAGCAAAATTAGTTCTAACTATTTGATGAATCATCATGAAATTTTGTAGATGTATTGTCAAGGACACACCAAGCAAGATAGGTTACCTTTTATCTAGAACAAAAATTGCTTTCGATGTAAAAATTTCATATGATCGATTTCACGCCTTAACTACTCGATCGATCATAATAAAATTTTGTAGACACATTGTCGGGAGTACAGAGAAGAATATAGGGTACCTTTTATGCAGAAAAAAACTGCTGTTCCCGAGGGATAGAAAAATTAATTTAGTGTAGTCATCAATGATTTTTGACACATATTTAGAATGCCAACGCGAGCGAAGCAGCTGGTAATTTCTAAAATATGGTGTTAGAGCAATGCAACTGAATACGGTAAAGCCCGAAAAAGTGCGGGGAAGTTTCTTACTTGGGTCATGTTGTATCAGCGAAGGGCGTGGCCGTGGATCCAGAGAAGATAAAGGCCGTAAAAGAATGGCCAGTGCCTGAAAATGTCCACGACATAAGAAGCTTCTTCGGATTGTGCACATATTATCGTCGCTATTTTTATGGATTCGCCAATATCGCCAAACCTTTGACACGTTTAACCGAAAGATACGGAAAATTTCATTGGGATTC